TGGAATTGGGGCCATTGATGAAAGAGGTTATTTAGGAGTCTCTGATAGTTGAGGGTGGGGGGTGGAGGCATTCCTACGTGGAACATTTAAATGAGTGACTTTGGGAATCATGAGGCCTTAGGTTGGGAAGGGGTGTGTGAAAAGAATGCATTGGAGAAGAGAAAAGAGTATTAAAAGCAAACTTTTAACTACACAGGAGTTTATCTAGGGCTGCTGTTTCTGAAGTCCTAACTACGGTATCCACCTGCCTCAGATGCTTGGTTGGCACTTACCCCACTTAGCTTCTTTCCACACTGGGTTCCAGGTGAACTGAGAAGTCTGCATTCTGAGCTCTCCTCCTTTAGTCAGTTGCTGGTGGTCTGCCCATCCTCTGTTCCAGGACAGAATTTAACCTTTGGGTTCTGGATCATTTGTATTCCCGTTTCTGGATTGCCTTCTGGCTTGAGAAAGGCTTCGTATCTAGAGTTCCTTTATGCCCCTTTGGGAGTGCCACAGAGCAGCAGCAGCAGCTGGGCCACTCTGTTCACTTAAATTCCTGCCTGCCTTGCTGTTTGGCAAGAGGGGTCACCCAAAGAATGTTCAGGGGAGCCTTCCCTAAATGCCTCATGTGATCATGCTTGTCTCCCCCAGCGAATGTTTTATTTATTAAAATTATTTATTTAATCACATGAACATGTATTATCAACCTGTGGCTATACTGACTAGATCCAAAGTGGGCTCAGGTTTCTTCTGGTTACTGTAGGAGTAGGTCCTTGGTGATGAGTGTCTCCTTTCCTCCCATCCATTCTGTCTGAAAGAGCAGTGCCGCTTCTTAGAAGACCCTTCTGACCTAATCATTCCTATTTTATGGCTCTCTTATTAGATCTCCTGTTGCAGTGACCATCGATGCAAGTGGCTTCCAGCTTCCATGAACACCTTCTCCACCCAGTCCCTGACCCTGGCGATTGATTCTTGTCAGGGCACCGTGGTTGCTCTCCGCTATGCTTGGACCACGTGGCCTTGTGAATATAAGCAGTGTCCCCTATACCACCCCAGCAGTGCCCTGCCAGCCCCTCCCTTCATTGCTTTCATTACAGACCAGGGTTCTGGACATCAGAGCAATGTTGCTAAATGACTGTTTCAATATGATCAGAACTTAGATATAAGGATGGGTCCTTCAGATTTTAGCATTTAGGAGTTTCAATAATAACCATTGCTTTTAAAGGAAATTAATAGAAAGCCTCATTGAATGGCTTCCAGCTAGCACATGGCTGTTTCTATATTCTGATGAGCCCAGGCTGGTAGGTAACTTGAAATGCTTGCTTTTTTTGTCCCCTAGTTAGTCGAAGGGTCTGTATTGGACTAATTCTGAACTACAGACAAATTGGACCTCAATATCATTCACTTCCCTCATATTAATGGGAGTGAAATATCTAATACTTTTGCTCCTTGTTATCCAGAGTTGTGGGATCTCAGGATTGGAAGATTTTAAAGGCCGCATAGCCCAGCTAGTGTTCATGTGTTTTTTTTTTTTTTTTGAGACGGAGTCTCGCTCTGTCGCCCAGGCTGCAGTGCAGTGGCTGGGTCTCAGCTCACTACAAGCTCCGCCTCCTGGGTTTACGCCATTCTCCTGCCTCAGCCTCCGGAGTAGCTGGGACTACAGGCGCCGCCACCACGCCCTCGTGTGTTCTTTACAAAATTTCTGACAGGTGGTTACTGAATCTCTGTATGAACTTTCCATTAAAACTTTCCAAGTTTTTCCTTATGTGGAACTGAAATCTGTCTCCTGTGAAACTTTACTACTGTCGGAGTCTTTCAGATAATTGAAGACAGATCTCTTTGTATTCTCTTCAAGCCCAAACCAATTCTGTTCCTTCAATGTAAATAATGATAATATGAATGTTTAAGAAATAGGAAACATGTACAGGCACTTTGGGAGGTGCTAAGTGACTGCCCTAAGGAATGAAAAGCAAGGGCCAGGTGGGAGTAGCCCAGGGAAGGCACTTGGGCTGCCAGGAACAGGAGGGACGGGAAACTCTGGCTTAGGAAAACATGAACATAGGGGCAACAGAGGCAAATGTGTTGTTCGAGTTAAATATAAATCTTAGGCTCTTTAAAGGTAAAAGGTTTAAGGATAATCCATTTGGAAGAAAAGAGAGAGTGAGGCTGAAAGTAAAGCCACATGACAAGCATATAGAAAAATAATGCAGATGATACAAACATGAAAGAGACCTTTTGTGTTTATTATTAAGAATCTTAATGCAGTTTACTGACGGATTAAAAACAGTTAACGGTGCCTGAAAATTATGTTACCTATTAGAAGTTGGAAATAAAAGCATAATCACTAGTGATGTGTATATATTTGTATCCAGTCAAAACTTGCAAATTGTCCTTGAAGCGTGTGAAAAGGAACAAGAATGCTATCTATGGGTAGCTTTCCTCCCCTTAGTGTGAAAAATGAGAACTAAAGCAAAAAGCATCACTCACTCTACATATACAATGTATTTTACGGAGTGTAAAAAATATGGTTTAGGTAGTGAATATATTAATGAAATCATATGTAAATTTATTTTTAGTGGCTGAATAATTTAAAACATTATGTGGAATTCACTATATTTCCCCCAATTTAGGAACTGTTTACTGTTTGAAAATGAAATTTATAATCACTCTGTAGAATGAATGATGGTTTTTGCTTTAGTTCTACCCCTCTATAGAATTCCAGGGGGTTCTGGTGTAGCTCCAAACAGGAATAACTTTTGTCAGTGCCAAGATTTTATTTAGTGAAAAAACAAAAAATCTGCACACTTTACAAGGAACTTTGGCTCCCCTGAGGACTTCCTAGCATTCAATTCATTCAGTTAACTCCTGTTGCCCATGCTTTGACCTCTCCTGCATCTGGCCCCATAGAAACCATGAACCTCGGACGGGCGCGGTGGCTCAAGCCTGTAATCCCAGCACTTTGGGAGGCCGAGATGGGCGGATCACGAGGTCAGGAGATCGAGACCATCCTGGCTAACACGGTGAAACCCCGTCTCTACTAAAAAATACGAAAAACTAGCCGGGCGAGGTGGTAGTCCCAGCTACTCAGGAGGCTGAGGCAGGAGAATGGCGTAAACCCGGGAGGCGGAGCTTGCAGTGAGCCGAGATCACGCCACTGCACTCCAGCCTGGGTGACAGAGCCAGACTCTGTCTCAAAAAAAAAAAAAAGAAACCATGAACCTCGTAACAGATTGATGCCTGAGGAAAAGTCAATCTACATGTCCACTCCTCCACCCCCAATACACAAACCCCCATGGGCTGTTCTAATTCAGGGGCAGCTAGAGGTAGCGAAGAACTCTAAGTCCAGGTTCCTTTCACCTCCAGGAACCTAGAATACATAGTGTGAAAAATATGGTTTAGGCAATGACTATGTTAATGAAGTCATGTACATTTATTTTTAGTGGCAGAATAATTTAAAACATTATGTGGGAATTCACTGTATTTCCCCAAATGTAATAACTTTTTAGTTTTAAAATGAAATTTATAGGCACTGTAGAAAATTTGGACATTAAAGTATAAGCAAGTAAAAATCACCCCCAAATTCATCATTCAGAGAAACTATTTTGTTGAACTGTTCACTTGATTTGAGTTATACACTACATATTATTTTGTAATCTGTGTTTTTGACTTACTTTACCAAAATAATTTTCTTATGTAAATATAGATTTAGAGTGTTTCAGTTTGTGGAAGCTTCATTTTATTTAACCAATTTCCTATTAATGGACATATGGATTTTTAAAATAATTTTCTATTAAAATAATACTGTAATGAATATCACATGCAAACATCATACCACACTCGTCCATACCACATACTATTTCTTAGGGTCCTTAACGTGGAAGGGGATAAATATATATTTAAAATTTTGATACCTACAGCTTAACCCTCCCAAAGGATTAAACAACTTACATTCTCACCAAGGAAGTCCTTTTGTTCCCTGACCTTCATTGACACTGGATGTTGTTAAAATAAAAAAAATCGTTAACAATCTGACAGATGAAAAGATAGTTTAAGTATACTATGGCAGTGTTTTTCAATTTATTTTATTTTATTTTTTTGAGATGGAGTTTTGCTCTGTTGCCCAGGCTGGAGTGCAGTGGTGCGGTCTCGGCTCACTGCAACCTCTGCCTCCCAGGTTCAAGTGAATCTCCTGCCTCAGCCTCCCAAGTAGCTGGGACTACAGGTGCCCACCACCACGTCTGGCTAATTTTTTGTATTTTTAGTAGAGACGGGGTTTCACTGAGTTAGCCAGGATGGTCTCGATCTCCTGACCTTGTGATCCACCTGCCTCGGCCTCCCAAAGTGCTGGTATTACAGGTGTGAGCCACTGTGCCCGGCTTTTCAAGTTTCTTAAATCCATGATCCATAATAAAAACATTTTACACATATCTCCATACAAGTATATGTATATGTGGTGTACGTACACACTATAGTTGTATACGCATTAATAGTTGAAAAAACAGTGTCAACCTTTCTCCATGTGATACATTCCAAAAATTGTAAATGTCTGTCTAAAATGAGGCTCTTTTAATATGGGTATTACTCAGGCTGTATTAGTGGGAAAATGTTTGTTATATGAAAAAAGCAGCACGTGCCATTTCTGTGTTAAGTGCCAGTATGCGTAAGCAATTTATGCAGAGAAAAAAAAACACATTAACATTTTAAGCACTCCCCTTCCCACCCGATTCACTATGATAGAAATGTTGTTTCTTTTACATTGTAAAATGTGTACAACTTATAAAAAAACTATACTCCAAATCATAAGATACCAGTTAACTTGGCTTCTGAGTTTACACCGGCCAGTGTGGTGTGCTCTCAACACTGCTGCCTGATCCCTCCCTCTGCTGGCAGATTTATTACTATAAAATACCAATCCCATTTGTGTTGTCCTCAGT